TCATGTTTGTAAATGTAGATCGTCCAGGTTGGTATAGTCCTGAGAAGGACTGTTTTTGTTGTTGTTGACTGACGTTTCGACAACCTTAGCGGTAGTCATCTTCATAGTCAAATGAGGAGTAAGCGTCAGGTTAGCCGTATTTGTTATTTGGTTTTTACGTCATTGTTTTGTGTGTACAGGAAATGTGTGGGTGTCAATTGTGTATTGTCATTGTGAATTAGTGTGAAGTATGTTTTTAGTTGTGATGTGTTGCACACTATTGATGTGTTGCTGCACTATTGACTGTCCCTAAAATCGAATGACAAGGTGCAGTTTACAAAATAAACTTCTCCCACTGCCACGCCTCCTATATCGAGGAAACTGGCAGGAGCTTAAACATAAGACATACTGAACACAAACGAGCTACAAAGAAACAAGACAAAACTAATCACATTGCCGATCATCACCGAATCACAAAGCACAACATTGACTGGGACTCGGCAAAAGCATTACTTACAGTACTGACTATAGGCAACGGCTTACATTAGAAAGTTTGTATACTAACTTGGAACAAACCCCCCTGAACAGATCACAGCAACTACCGGCACCTTACAAACCACTTTTTCACAGTACAAACAAACGATCAACTAAAAACATCACACTTCACACTAATTCACAATGACAATACACAAGTGACACCCACATATTTCCTGTACACACAATACAATGACGTAAAACCAAATAACAAATACGGCTAACCTGACGTTTACTCCTCGTTTGACTCTGAAGATGACTACCGCTAAGGTTGTCGAAACGTCAGTCAACAACAACAAAAACAGTCCTTTTCAGGACTCTACCAACCTGGGCGATCTACATTTACAAACATATCTAAGAGTGTTAAAACGTCGAAAAGCTAAAATAACGATATTCATGAAAACAAGACTGAATACCAGATTTTTGAAATCGACGCCCCAATATTTACAAAGTAAATTTCCCTAATGAAGTTGTGTAGCATTATGGCCAGAATCTTAAGTCGTGGGGATATCCTTTTCATTAAAAAGGCGAGAAAGTCTTAACAGATCATTAAGACAGCTCTAGGAAATTAAATTCATGAATCCTTTAATCAAAATAATTATTTCTAAAGGCCCGTTTACACTATCCGATTTGACGGATCCGATTTTGTCAGATCCAAAAAACGGAGCGTGTGAACACATATAAAGTGAGCATCCGACAGTCGGATTTGTCAATCTGAAAAGTCGGATGGAAATAGGACTTCCTCGACATTCATCCGAGGAGATCACAAAAAGCCGACTCGTCTCGGACCGTTCACAGTCCATACTTTCCAAGTTTCATTTGGTACAAAAGATTAGATGTGAAAAGACTTGCATGGACACAGGAACAACAATATGCAAAATAGATCGATAAATGTACTGGTAACATAAATGTTCGCTCCCACGACTTTAAATATCTAAGCGAATACAAATATCACCAAACTGAACGTCTGAACAAGCAGTCAAAAGTCAGAAGAGAAACAATCGTATCCGACAAATCAGATCGCGCGAACAGGCCTTAATACACTTATTGTTTATGAGATAGTCAGTGGCTCCAATATTCGAAAACAACAATACAACGTGCACGCTGATTGGTCCTTGAATGAGTTTGCATTAGCCTGTGCAAACCGATATGAGCTCAACCATTGCGTAGAGCTTAATCAAGAAATCAATTAAAGAGAATTTGCAAATCAATCATTAATACATTTTTATAGGAAAAATTAAGACATTTCTGTTAAATTTATCTGTTTTGCATTACTACATGCTATCATGAAAAAGAAATAAAAGATGTTTTTCATGTTTGCAAAGGCTTATGCAAATCTCGGAAACGTTTGTGAAACTATCAACCTTCGCTCTAGGGTTTGCACCAGAGCCCTCTATAGTATAAGAGTTGGGACATCTATTGTTATCCGTTTAGCTTACGTTGATTGGGCAATATTGATCACCTGATCAATTTCCGCCATTTTGGTTCCTAGTTTTGAAATTTTAGCTTGTGTTTATATAGCAATTGCTGCTAGTAATACAGTATTTTGAGATAATATTGCGTTTTTTTATGGATAAGTGTGTAATAACTGATTGTTGAAGGCTACTAAATGTCATTACATATCGCATAAATCGAGGATTACGAAAAAAATGAAAGAAATGCCTTTACGTCGAACTTGCGAAATTTGATTGCGTATGGTGATTGTTGTGCTGAACTGCTTTTGATATAAGGTTCAATTAACTGACTCAAGTAGAGAAACATTTTTGGGCCAAATAACATTGCAAAGTTCGTGCTGATGCAGGTTCAATAGTTTTCTTATTCCAAAGCTTGTTTTTTAATCGAAGATGATTTCTCATTATGTTCTGAAATTGGTCAATCTACAAACCTCTCAATTCTCAGCCACTTCCATACTAAAACAACTACACCAAATCACAGAAACTCTTATGATTTTCCATGTTGTATTTTGTATTTTTAGTTCATCATTTAAAAATGAAGTAATTATAATTAGGATATTCAATGAAACAGCTGAGTACAATATATTTTTGGTATTGAATTGTACAAATGTACCCTACTTCTGTAGCTCAAAGTAGAACATTACTTCTCTTCTAGACTTGTTGATGATATTTTAATTGTAGGTTTTGGTTTATAAGATCACAGAGGCATATCTCCATAATTTCAGCTATTTGGGCTTTTTAATGTATATTACAACTGTTGCTGCCTTTCTCATATATATTAAAATATTGCCGGCTTTCTGATATATTATAGCTTTTTGATATATATATTTCACTGGCAATACAAGGCATAGAATTTGAACAAACGGGGCTGAGCTCCCTCCAACACACCCCTGTTTGATCATTAAACACATATAGAAGTTTTGTCATTCCTCAACCAATAAATTTAACTCTTTGCTAAATTAAAGATTGGATCAGACTCATATGCTGTATAAAAGACTACAAACAGTAGCATTTATAGCAAACAGACTGCTCTTCAAAAACAGAAATGTTTCATATTATAGAAATAATATATTCATTTCAAAGAAATGCTTCACCAAAATTTTCAGCAGAATCCCTAACAAACTTTATTAGAAATAAACTTTAATACTTTATAAAGTGATAAAGGCGAAATAACTTCATATAAAGGAATAAAACGTTTAAGGTCAAATGCATCTTGGTCAAATCATTGCATATTTCAATAACTAAAAAGTAAAAAAGTCTGTCATTTTCTGCTGAGCAAGAAAATTTTGCGATCTTTCAGAATAAAAAATATCATGCTTGGATTAAATTGGGGGGGCATAAATCACTCACTACCACTAAATTGTTACAAATCTTGAACACAAATCTCTCCGGACCAAATCTGCATGATTACTATGATTCGAAGTTTCGAACAAAGTCTTGTCCAAGTATTTGATAACACTGATGCCAGGATAACATTGCCGCTTGCCACCAAGCTTAAAGATCTTGAAAACTTGTTACAGAGTCGGAACATAAGCCGAGAAAACACGTTCACGTACGAAAAATACTTCTTACAATGGGTCACGATCAATTTGAAGCACGAACTAGTAAACCGCAAACGAAGCTCAAACCAATGAAATTAAATCAGGTCTGCCGCAAATCGTTAAAAAAACGCAAAGAGCTTGCTATTATTCCTAATATATTTGATACTACCATGGAATAAGCTTAAATTGCTTTCTTCTTTTGCATATAAACCCAATTTCCAATAGTATTATTATAGTTTCACTTTGCAAGTAGGAACCAAAATGGCGGCTCCGCGCTCGCCCCAGACCGTTTGTCCCAACTCTTATACTATAGAGCAGGGGTCTCCAAACTTTACAGCCAGAGGGCCGCATGAACTTTCATCCAGCATGTTGAGGGCCGAAGAATATAAAAAATTTCCGCGTTATCCTTCAGCTTTTTAAATTTCGCAGTGTGCTTGAAACGGAAGTAGGAAGTTGGGAGAAAAATTAACGTAAGCCACTCTTGCTAGTTGGCTTGCGACATAACGTAAACTTTCTGCACAAAATTTATTTTGTTTAATAATATTATTATTTTTTCTGAAGTCCCTCTGCGGGCCGGATTGAGAAGCCGAACGGGCCGCATCTGGCACGCGGGCCGTAGTTTGGAGAGGGCTCTGGTTTGCACTGATCTGTTTTGGAAAACTCCCAAACATCTTATCGGTTTGCATAAGCCAGTGCAAACATCTTTTGATTGCTAATTCCGTCAATTAAAGTGCTCATATGGTATGTGAGCCAGCCCAGTTCACGAACAAGCCGGGATCTTAGTAAAGTGGGATGAAAATATTCTATATAAACAAAAATTCCCCACTTTGTCCCAGTAAACCGGGATAACAACAACACAGCGGACATTTGACATGAACTCTTCATCGAAAATAGCGTAAAGGAGTGAGATTGTATCAAATGAGTTGCAAGAAGCTGCAAAAGATATTAATTGAATCCAACGAGAAAGAGGCTCAAAGTATAGCATCATGTTCCTGGTTTGCCATCTTGAACAATTCCTATGTTTTAATAGATGGGTCCCACTTTTCCCATGCAATGTGTGCCTGCTAGGTAAAATGGCCAAAAATAGACTTGTATGTTGGATTAAAACTGGATTATGATTACTATCATAAGCCTGATGATTTTATACGAAATAGATTTCAAAACACAGCCTGGCAAGCAAAGCCATCCTAGCCAGCGGGGCTGTTCCGCCACATATTAACCGGTCATTAAAACTGAATTTGTTATTTTATACCAACATATTCTTTGAATCAAATTAGTTATATTATCAAGCCAATTTTTATCAAGAGAATGAAATATGTTATTCGATAGAATAAAATGAACACGAATTGGTTGTTTTGTATATGACATGAGTCATAAAAGATCGCAATAAAACGCCTCAACTTCACAGATTTGATATTCTCATAATAAGCCAAGCGGGATTTCCCCGACAGACACGGTGCAGACTTAATTTCCACGACCCCATATCATTGTAATTTCCGACAAGAGTTGAGAAGCAACTGCGAGCAAATCATCAGACCGAACAATAACAAAGTCTGCCTACCAATTATGAATTTTGTTGGTTTGCTTCGTAATTTATTAATTTGTTATTATGCATTGCTTGCGGCGAATGAGATCCGCGCTGCAAACATCGTTGGCTTTCCTGTGGACGATTATTACAGCCATCAAAATAGCATGAGAATCGTCGGTAAAGAAATGCTGAAGCGGGGACATCGCTACACGCAAATTGTACCGCATTTTATAGAAAGTCAATACCAGGATATCGATTTGATTGTTTTTAACACTTCGGTTACCCAGGACGATTTACATGAGGTCATGTTTGCATTCATCAATATTGGTGACGACGTGCAAAGCTTGAAGGGCTCTAATGATATTTACAAAGCCATGAAGAACCACGAGTTGATGGAACAACGACATTGCGCAAGTCTTTTGGGAAACGAACGTATAATGGAAAAACTCAAAGATGACACAGACATTCTCATTTGCGATCTTGCAAACCATTGTTGTTTCATACTAGCTTATATATTGAATGTCAGTCGAGTCGATATTAATATTATGGGTTTAATGCCCATCGCCATGTTCCGCAGTCAGTGCCAGGCACCGGTTTATTTATCACAGGATGCGCTCTTGGATGAAAACGATCCCAACAATTTTTCATTTTTTAATCGTCTTGCGACATTAAAGCGTTACGTGGACCAACGAACAGCATTTGATTTTTATGAATATTCTGAAGCATTGATAAGAAAATACGGTAAATCATCCCCGTCCAATGCAATGGATGCCTTCAAGCCACGAGGACTTTTACTCATCTTTCATGATTTTGCATTAGAATATCCACGACCCTTGGGCCCACACATTAAAGTTATCGGGACGCTTACTGCCCGTCCTCCAGAAAAACTCTCTGCAGAATTTGAGCCTTTCATGAATAAAAGTGATATAGTCGTTTTAGTGTCGTTTGGGACGAGCCTAGATAATTTGAGTAAATCTTTCTTACAGAGAGTTACTGAAGGACTTGGTAATTTATCAGTACCTGTCTTGTGGAAGAAATCGGAAAACTCGCATCCTCCACGCGTGCCTACAAATGTTAAGCTTGTGGACTGGATTCCACAAAACGACATCTTAGGTCACGTGTCCACCAAAGTACACGTCACGCATTTGGGTTTAAATAGTTTTCTTGAATCTGTTTATCACGGTGTACCCATAGTAGGTATTCCTTTTTTATTTGATCAACCAAGACAAGCCGCGATTGTACAACTCAAAGGCCTTGGCAAAATCTTAGATCGTCATACGATGACGCCAGAAGACCTGACAGCTACCGTAAATGAAGTATTGTCAAATAAGAAATACGAAGAAAACGTGAAACGTGTTTCAAAACTTATGAAGGACCGTAAACAGTCGCCAGTAGAGGAAGGCGCCGATTGGATAGAGTATGCATTACGTCATGACGGAGCAAAACATTTAGTTAGCGATGCGTTGTATCTACCCGAGTACAAGTTGTATTCCGTTGATATTTTTCTATTTATGTTTTCTGTATTTGTTCTTATCTTTTTCGCACTTCTTATGATTTGCTGTGTAATTTACCGAAGCATAAAAACAATATCTTTCTTAAAATATAAGAAATCTTAAAGCCAAACACCAAGGTCGGGTCATGACGTTTTTAGCAATATTGATTTAGAAAAATTGCAGGTTTTATGCCCAATATTTAATAAACAATTAGCAACTGTAATAGATTGAGCTACTTCGATCAAAGGATATCGGACACTTAGTTGCATTGTATTCATTGGCATTTTTGTAAGCTCACAGGCGTTAAAACCGGGGGCATCCTTCTTGCATATAAAGAGTGATACTCATTCAACTTGACATATTATCAACATTGTTATACTATGGTGGCGCAATCTTGATTGTTATTGTCTAAGAGCCTACAAATAATTCTCAATGTCATGCCAACTACGAAACATCGAAAGTTTTTTGCAGATGACTTAATTTTTAATGTGACAACTGTAAACACAGGAAAACTCGCGAGACGTTAGAAAAATTGAATCAGCCTTATTAACATAGTTTGCACAACATGGAACAATTTTTACATTGCTTAATATTGTCAAGGGGGATGAAATGATGTTTTTTCTTGCAATGAAAAGAGAAAAAAGGCAGTTTACAGAAAAAAGTATCTTTTTTGTTTGTACATAATAAGGGTTGTATACATCAAAGACTTGAATAAAAGTATTTATTCGAAATCCAGTCAACTTTAAAAGAGCAATCTTCAAAGGTGGTTTTTTTCCATCTCATACTAGTAGCAGATGTATGGGGAATGGGAAAATATGATTTTATAGTGAAGTCACTGACTTTAGTTAAAGGCACACGCATGCGAAACAGCATACTCATATGAGAATGTGCTATTAATTAACTTACAACTTTTTCTTTAATTACAAAGCTATTTGCCAACTGCAATGCTTCTGCCAAACATAAAATGTGAGGGAAAAGGATAACATATAACACATCTTATTTTGAAAGAAGTAATAGCACCCATTTTAAAGATTTCATTAACTACTTGGTTAGCAGGAGTATAGTGCGGCATTTTCAACACTTTTTGAACAGTGTACTACTTTAAAAAAAGTTAAACTTTTTCAAAGAAGATAATGGTAAACACCTAATTCGAATTTTCTTTGAAGATATAAAGATAGTATATATTAAAGACAAAGTGCATATTACCAATATATTTTTCCGAAAAACTGATGAATATGGTGTTTTCAGGGGCGGCCAAGTTTGCAAAAAATCCATACAGCAAAAGTATTCCTACTTATTACATTTCACTCAATATTTAATGTTGAAACTTTGATGAAACCAAACAACTTGGCCAAACTGATGCCACATGAGAACAGAGCACCCATATATGAGTCAGTAACACATGACACAAGCACAAATTCTATTAATAAACATACAATTACTAATATTGAGCATTTATTTGTAGACTTTTTATTTCTAAAAGAATTGATTACCTTGAAAACACATTAAACATAGAGTAGCTGTTTGTACACCCACAGTTATGTACGTATATTATACATACTATACATCAAGCAATTAATACAATATTTATACATCGTTCAATTTTTCCCTGACCAACATAATAAGAATTACATAATTGAGGTAGAAGATTGAGAAAGTCTGCGATGTCATTACTTACTCTGGCTCTTGAAAAATGTAGCTTCAAATGTTCCCACAGGACCCACACAAGAACTTAATCTGGTTTAGTTAATACTATCATTAACACGACTCCTTTCCATTTTCACTGCCCATTCTAAAGGTTCCTTTAGACGAAACAAGGAAAAAACAATGGATAAAAATACAACTCGCAAGGATTGGTACCCAAGCAAAACTTCTGTTGTGTGTTCAGATCATTTTAGGGAGAGTTGTATTGATAGATGTAACATAAAGTGACCTTGAAACAAACTGCAGTGCCAACACGATTCAAGAAATACCCAGCATATGTGCAAAAAGCACTTTAGCTCGAAAAAAGACGTAAGCGGCCATCATTAAGAAAGACGAAAAGAGGCAATTGTCAGCTGATAGAAGTTGAAAACGCAGAAATTAGAAATCTATAATTAGAGGAAGTTTCATTATATGATGTTAAAGACGATGGTCCACCAACAAAAAAGCAGTGCTCAGAAGAAAATGGAAACTCCAATTCTTTCAGTAATGTGGAGCAGAATTTGAACAGGAGCTAAAAATAAAAAATAAAAAGTTCAGTCTTTAAAAATAAAACTAAAATCTTGCCACCAACGATCTAGGAGCTTAAAAAAAAGTAGCTTCTATGAAAGAAATTGTTAACTTCCTCAAGCAAAACAATCTAGTTTCAACTAACTGTGAAGAAATGCTTAGTCAGACATTTAGTGGTGTGACTTTGGCACTAATGAGAAGAATGACAGCAAAAAAGTCAAGAAAGGGATAGCGATACTCACCAATGTTGAAATCATTTGCATTGACTTTAAAATTCTGCTTAAGCATATGAGTTTGTGAGAAAAACTTTCAACAAAGCACTAGCAATTTGACTCTGAAGATGACTACCGCTAAGCCTGTCGAAAGATCAGTCAACAACAACAAAAACAGTCCTTCTCAGGACTATACCAACCTGGACGATCGACATTTACAAACATGTAACGATACTCCCGGGTTCAAACCATTTACTTTAAAGCACTACCAAGTCAATCACAAATTAGACGATGGTATGGAATAGTTGCTGCAGACCCAATATTCAAAAAACCAGCTTATAACGCCCTATAAGTTAAGGTAGAAGAAGCTAAAATAATTGGAAAGATGTTGTCTGCTCGCAGATGTTAGATGAAATGGCTATAAAAAAGCATATTTCATGGCATTGTAAAAGATATCATGGCTATGTTGATATTGGAAATGGTGTCACAGATGATTCGTTACCTGCAGCAAAAGATGCATTGGTCTTCATGGTGGTCAGTTTAAATGAATCCTTGGAAGTCCCTTGTGGTTAATTTTTAATAGATACTCTTGGTGGTATACAACCTGCTAATATGGTGAAAGTCTGCATTCAGCGTCTACATGATGTTAGTGTTAAAGTGATCTCAATATCATGTGATGGTCCATCTTGTCATTTCTCTACGTTATCTTTATTGGGTGCAACATTGAAGGCATCTAGCATGATTCCATGTTTACCACATCCACAAGATCAAAAGGAAAAAATTTATGTGCTACTAGATGTATGCCACATGCTAAAGTTGGTTAAAAATTCACTAGCAGAAGGGGTTATTCTCATAGATAAAGATGGAGGAAGGGTCCAATGGCAGTATTTAGTTGAGCTTCAGAGGTTACAAGAAGCAGAAGGTCTCCGACTTGGTAATAAGTTGAAAATGGCTCATATCTAATTGAAGCAACAGAAGATAAAGGTCAACTTAGCTGCTAAAGCTATTAGTTCCAGTGTAGCTGATGCCATTGAGTACCGTTCAAATGAGTTAAAAATTCCTCAATTTCAAGGAATGGAAGCAACAGTTAAATTCATACGTGTTTTTGATCACCTCTTCGACATCCTGATTTCCAGAAATCCTCTAGCTAAAGGATACAAGTCACCACTCAGCATGTAAAACAAAAACCAGTGGAATCCATTTCTTGGGGAGGCATTTGAGTATATACTACGTCTAAAAAATTTCCAAGTGGTGAAACCATGCATACATCTCGAAGAAAGACTGGATTTATTGGATTTTTAGTAGCAATCAAGAGCATACAGCTGACGTTCAATGAGCTTGTTGAGACCCACGATGCTCCACTTAAATATCTTCTTACCTACAAATTTAGTCAAGATCATTTAGAATTCTTTTTTGGAGCAGTGCGATCAGCTGGAGGATTTAACAACAATCCTACAACTCAACTATTTACAGCTGCATATAAGAGGCTTCTTTTATGTAGCCAAATAAAAAGTGACAATGGAAACTGTGAAAAGAGGATCCTATAGATATTAAAGTAAATGGTTTGAGCCCGGGAGTATCGTTACATGTTTGTAAATGTCGATCGTCCAGGTTGGTATAGTCCTGAGAAGGACTGTTTTTGTTGTTGTTGACTGACGTTTCGACAACCTTAGCGGTAGTCATCTTCAGAGTCAAAAAAAAAAATTTGACTCTGAAGTTGACTACCACTAAGGTTGTCGAAACGTCAGTCAACAACGACAAGAACAGTTCTTCTCAGGACTATACTAACCTGGACGATCTACATTTACAAACACCTATATATATTATCAGTGTGGTTTCTGATAATTGCAACACTCAAAACAACACCAATACCATTGCAAGTGCTTTACTAATGCGGAAATATGATTTAACTAAAAGAAATCCAGTTCAAGCAGATCACGACTATTGTGACTCACCTATTGTTTCAGCCATATCAGAATTCAAGAGAGCATTAATTTCCTATATTGCTGAATATGTCGCGAAGAAGCTGAAGAAACAACTAGACTGTCACAACTGCTGTACTTCTCTTGACTCTGATACATTCATACCAAATTTTTAAAGTTGAAAGAACGACGCAAGCTCTACAAACCAACACAAAGTGTTGTTCAGATTTTCGAAGAAACCGAGAAGTAATTTGAACGAATGTTAGAGGCAAATGATGGCAATTTTCAACTAGAAAAAAGGCTTGTTCATGCAATTGCAGCCTCAGTATTAGGATCCTGTAGGATATCCACGTTGTTTAAAGAGCTCCATCATCATATGCTTGATACAACAGTTAAAAAACAAACATATCCACAGCTTGATTACAAACATCGGGAAGATTTACAGTAAAATTCGATTGTACCATATTGGAAAAGAAAAGACACAAAATCAATGTGGACAAATAGTAAGGAAGAAATTGAATGAACAAGTTCTTTTCAAACATCAATAAATTAGGATATCACTCTACCTGGGCTCAGATGTTCACCGCTCATTTTAAGCCAGTCGTTTTATGTTTTCACTGTCAACCGTACACTCTGAATAAGGCATCCATCGAGTGCCGAACTTGCAATCGCAATTTTCAGGCGTTACAAAGCCAAGAAGATAGAAATTTTGTGGTTAAAACTTTTTACCGGTTATTCTGTTCACGAGAGAGAAGTTAGCTTATTTGTTATCATTGCTATTTTGC